AGGGTAGGCCGCCTCTCCAAAACAGTCCCCCCCCCCCCCCCCCCTTTCAAGCTATTGGTACACTTCCCTTGTTTCTATTTGCATGTAAAATTCCTAGTTGGCAGTTCAGGACTCAAGAGAACTTCGTGCCCCCTATTCCAAATACATGCATTATCACTAGTTTAACTTCGAGCTTTTCTTTTGTAACTAGATTTGAGCTTGGGGGGAGGGGAAGAGGAGCATTTCCACCCTTCTCACACCTCCCTCATGTCCCTTAAGGGTGGAGATTCCTTCAATAACCACTATTTTAGCCAGTATTGCTGACAAAGTTATTCAGCTAATTAAGCAGCATCTATTCTCTTTATGAAGAAATATCTGGGGAGTAAACCAAGGCATCAAGTTTCAAGACTTCAAGCTCAATTATTTAGTTCCAGACAAACTTAAAATATTTCAAGCCACATCCTCTCAACTTCAAATATTACATAATTAGATTTAACATTAATGGTATAGAATTGCAACTGCCAAACCAATATATTTTGAAGTCACACAAGTCAAAAAGCAAGTTAGAATTCTAACAGTGAGGGGAAGAAAATGACTGCATAAAGTGTTGTCCAGACTTAAGCAAGACTTCAACAATCTGGGTGATTTGAAAAGAAGAATACAGAGATATTCCTAGTCATTTCAGGACCAAATCTCAAAACAACATTGTAAGATCTTTGCTAAAAAAAAATAATTAATTAGCAAAAGGCAAAATTTCTTAAGATGGCTTTACTTTTTCATGCTCCATGGAAACAGTCTTTGGAAAAATTCACCCAGCAAACATCATGAATCTAGTATGACCTGAAGAATGTAAATATGTAACAAAGGAAACATTTCACTTTAGCACAGCTTGTGAATATTTTTGGAGTCATTTATTGGGCCTGACCCAGCAAATGTCTGCACCAAACATTGGGATAGGGTCCAAAATCCCTGCTCGTCTAATACAGAAAAAGTAAGTGGCTATGTAGAATTTGTTGTTGCTGTTGTCTCTTTAACAAGAGTTCTAGCTTTGGCTTGAAGCCCACATGCTTAAACAGACTAGGATTTTGCCAGCATACAGATTTCTATGAGGTCAAAAAACAAGTGTGAAATTATCATTTTGCTCTCACTAATTCCTCTTCTGTTCAGAAGAGATTCTGATGACTATAAGCTGCAATGGCTGTTAATGCAGCCTCTTTATTCCATATAAACTTAGTCCACTGCTGAAAAGAGGAGGCCCTGCAGTTTTTGCCCATTCCCAGCTAGGGTTTGTGCATCTTGCCTTCTTTGTATAGACACTGGCATTTTTATGGCCACATGGTGAGCTACATCAGAGTATCAATGCATCTGGAAAGTAATTCAGCTAAAAAAAGAAAGATTAAGAAACTGACACAGCTGAAAATGAATCTGCTTCACCAAATGGTTAACTGTTTTGGTAGCAGTCCAGATGTAAACTATCTTAGCCTGGAATATTAATCATGGTCTCAGCTGAAACTGAAGAGTGAGCAATACGGAGATTCAAGATGATGCAAGCAGAGTCAGACCTTTCAGCCTGTCATGCTGAAGATGGGAAAACAGAAACTAACAGGCCACTGTAAGTGTTTGTTCATTTATGATAGGTTTGTGTTAACTTATTAATAAAACAACAACCCACCTAATGGAAGCATATCAAGCTATCAGTTAAATTGTTAGGAATACAGTATGATGCCTCCAGTGTTCTAAAGGTGAGCCAAGTTGTTTTTAGCAGATTTTCCTAGTAGCAAAGAAGCTTAGAACCTCAAACATACAAATCCAAATCTACCTGCATATACTAACACACACACAAACTGATAATAAATATTATAAAAAAGTGGTAGTGTATTTTACTTTTTTTTTTTAATCAATGTTCCCAATTCTGACAATGAAATTACCATTTTTTTAACTGACTAGCTAGTAAGGTATTATGCTTAAACATTAAAAAGCTAGTCTTGAATTATTCCTTTCAGACAGACTTTAAGAGCACCTTTACCTTTCAAACTTGTTAAGCTACCCGGTATTATGCGGCATTACCAGGCATACCCTTTTTCAAGCAACAACTCAAATATTTGACAATATGTACTGCAGTTTTAAGTTTCTGTAACACTAGAGAGGTCTTTTGCATATACCTTTCTGTAGGAGTCTTCTATCGTAGGATCGTATTTTTCAACAAATATTCCTTGAACAAACTGTACAGTCTGCAACACAGAAGTTCTTGTAAGATTCTTCTTGCATAGTGACATTTTGTAAACATTGTACACAAATTACTGTTCTAGGTGTATAGTCAGTTATCCATTACATTTTTGAAGGCAAATTAAGTGCTTGACAGAACTATAAGAAACAGTAGGAAGTTAGATGTATATGCCTATTTAACTAAGGACTGTTAGATGAAGCAATGGTACACCTTCCTTCATCCACTTTTACTTGGAGCGTAAGAATTAAAGCATGCATTGATTTAAGGTTTGTCTAACTCTTAGAATCATTATTAGTTTTTAGTTGAATAGGATACTAGACAGCTGCATGGCTTTTACATCTGCATTTAGAACTACTGCAACTTCTGCTACTTATCTGCCAGCACAGGAATTAGTCAAAAAAACAACTGCCAGCATTTACTAGTCTTAACTAGACTCAGTAGGATATTCCTGTGTACCTAGCACGTAGGATGTTTTTAGCACAAGTCATATGGAACTTTAAGACTCAATGGCCAAGTCTGAGAAGACAGGATCAAATCCAGAAATGCTGCAGTAAGATAAAGAATTCAGAGGTGAAGGAAAACGTTCTTTCACAATCTAACATGATTCGACATTTAAGTTTTCCTTTAGGAACTGCTTTGTAAGACAATAGTTCTTACTTACCTGATAGAATGGACCTCTAGACCTTACTTTATGATAAGGTGCACAATTAAACTGAAAGATGTAAAGTTCTTAGGTGGGCTGAGAACATCATATTCTGTGAACTTTTTCAGTGCTAGTCTAGGTCAGACTAAACTTTTCTGTAATCGTTTAACCAAAATGCACAAGCTCTTTGATTTACAATCATCTACCTGCTGCAGCTATACACCTACTTGCAGGGAAAGATGTAGAAAACATGTTAAAGTTCCTACAAACATGCAAATATATATTTGTGTCTGCATAAGAAGAATATTAGTGCTTTAGAGACTGCTATCAAACATTAAGCAAACAGCACCCTGAAGACCTTTCTAGAGGCAGGAGTTACCAAGGCCAGGCACAGGCAAACCTGTGGCTGGGTTACCCAGTGAAGCCAGAGACCTTGACGATGCTGTGGCTATGTACTTCACTGCGTAAGACAGGCACAGATCTGACTAAGCACCATCAACCAACCCCGTACAAAAATAGTAGCATGCGAGAATGCACCAATGGATGCGGATATACCCAGTAAAGGATGTACCTATTCTAGCCAGGAACCCTCAGCAGTCATTACTTAAATTTATGTTTATTTGTGCACACCTACATAGAAGAAATATGGGTTAGTAGAGAGTGTATTAGAGAAAAAAAAAAAACCACACAAAAACCCAGACAGACTTGAGAAGCCTAAAAAAACATACCTGAACTGCCTCACAGAGTACTTACCAGAGCAGACTTTCCAACACCTCCAGAACCAAGAACCACTAGCTTGTATTCACGCATGATGCAAGAGATAAATCACCCTCAATACCTAAAAACACACAATAAGTTATTCATCATTTTGATCAACAGGTCAACTATTTTAGCACTACGACATCCACTGGAAGATTACATACATAACAAGACATGAACAGTTAAATAGTGGTATCAACTTATAAATGCAGGAGATACACTATTATAACCAGGCATAACCTAAGCAGTATGTCACTTAATTATTACACAATATGGAAACTGTAGACGGTTATTCAAGACACAGTAACTGCTAAACGATGCTACTTTTTCATCTCGCACAAATGAAGCGCCTCCAATGTCTTCTCGTTACCAGGATTTTAACACTTAAAGAAGAACGATTGTTCATGTGTTATCTAGCCTAATTTCATAATCAAGATAGTACAGACTTGAAAAGTTTTTAAAATGGAGATTTTTATATCCCATGAAACAGTAATTTAGAGAAAAGGCAAGAACAGATTAAGACTCTCTGTAATAGAGACCTCAGTATCATGATCCTGCCAAAATATCACAGGAGTTTCAAAGAAAGCACACAAGTATCTGGAAGAACTGCTCACACCCATGTGCACATATCACTTCCACAGAGGCCTCTGGATGGATTAATCTCCTTTATTTACAGCAAAGAGGAATCAGGCATAGAAATTAATTTACTCCAATTGATAGGCCAATTACTTGGATTACAGCATACCAACCAGTGAGGTGTGTTCATCTCATAACATTTTCCAGAAACTGACAAAAATCCCTTCTAGTTATAGCTATAGTCACAGCAAGCATTAAGGTATTTCACAGGTTTCTCAAGATCTTCCATTCACTCACAAGAAGTTGCTTCCACTATATATTTTGCAACAACAGACCAAAACCAATATTCCCAAGAGCCTCACAGGTGCCTAAAGAGCTCGCAGTTTTACAACCACAACATTCACAGTATTGAATAGGTTTATCAGGTAAACAGCTGCTAATGTTTGTTGCCTATGGTACTGATATAGTAATTCTAAAAACATGTTTCTTAAATGTCACAGCTGCTACATCCTTTCCTCATCCATCCCACAAACTTATTTCCTATCACACAAGTTTTTGTAATTTCATATATATATATACACACATATACAAGTGTAAATTATTTTCTTCATATGAACTGACATGCATGAAATGTCTCCAGTCTCCTCTGAAGAACTGAAAGCATCAGCATGCTGACAAAACAAAAAAAAACAACAAAAAACCCCAACTGACCACCAACAACCAAAACCAGAATGGGAAACTTCTTTAGGCAACAGCACCTCTTTATTGCTGTTGTCATTTCCTTGAAATAACATCCAAGGTTTTTATCTACTGACCCAAAGTTTGATATATATGCAGAAAGTACAACCATGACACCACAATCCAGTTCACTAAGCAGGGTTTGACAGAAGGGCTTGGTTAACTTTTTTTAATACAGTGGCCATTTTCAAACTATCAACTCTTAATGCAGCTACAATAAAATGCTGCAAACCATCAGATATAGTACTTCCTCTACCTCATTACTGTTCTCCCATAAAGACATACTGAATAAACCCTGCTATAGTAAAGCTAACAGTTACTACTGATAAGAAACAATTATCCAAGAGGAGATAGCATGCATTTTCTCATTCTGAAACACTTAAATGCTAAACAACGAATCACAGAGAGACTTGTATAAGAAAATTAAACCAACCTCTTCCCAGCAAACAAACATTCCTCAAAAAGAACAGCAGGATCCCAGAAGTCTGTTTTCAAAAAAATCCCTTCTTAAGTCTGAAAGTTGATTAATGTTTTGCTAGATATCTAACCACAGTTATAATGACTGTAGTTTCATGAATAACTGGAGGCAACTAAAATATTCTTTTGAGACCATTCCTCTCCTACAAGCTGGATCTGTTCCCCTGTTCCAAACTAGCTAGTGTGGCTGCCTACAGCAGTCTGCCAGATCTGCTTGCTCATCTGTGTTGAAAACTGACCCAGCAAAACCAAAACAAGGCCACAGATTTTGGGACTTGTCTTTGGGTCATACTGCTCAAGAAAACACACCTCTTACAGTCCTGCTAGCAACTGAGCTAATAGGACTGTTACTGCTGCCCTGGGAACAAGGTTTCAATTCCTTTCCTGCAGGGGCTCCAGCACTTACCAGATCGCGTTACCTGTTTTCTCCCCTCTCTCCCCTGCAGAAAGATGAAACCCACCCCACCTGATGAATAATTTGGGGGTCAGAAGCAAGGGGAAGTGCAGGGAATCCAACACAGGTGCTTGTACAAGGTAAGCAGCAGAAGTAAGGTAAGAAAGACCCTTCTCATCAGCAGTAATCTCACAGCATCTCTGGAGTCACACCATCTGTTAGGCATTTAGCACAAAAGGCTAAGATGATTTACATAGAAATTAGAGCACCTCCATGTTAGTGTCCATCTTTGCCATCGCTGATTAACTCCACATTGTCAGAAAACTGAGAAATCAAGAGGCCAGGTCCTATTTGATTTTATTCTTGCAAACATAACGAGCAATCTTTCAACTTAGTGAAACTGTTCCTTGCACCTTAAGGAAGCAAAAGGAACACAAGGAGAAAACCGTAAGGAAATAATTGACCTGATGTCCAGCAAAGCAGGTCTCTCCACAGGCTTCTGTTACCAATAACTTTTGAGACTCTTCAGTGATTTTCACACTTAATAGAACATCTACTCACTCCTGACTTTAAAAACTATGGTTCCTTCACTAGATAAAGTTTTTGCAAACATGGACCACCAGAACTGTTCACACCACAATCTTCATCTTTTTGGCACCACTGTAAATGTTCAGTTAGATCCACAAGCCTGTACATTGTCCAGCCCTTCCACAAACAATGAAGGATTGTCTCTAACGGTACTGAAATGCACCTCTCAAACTCCTGAAAAGTTAAGCCTATAACTACATTACCTGTCATTTCTTTAAAACAAACAATTCAGTTATGCCTGTATTTTTGGCAAGGTGTCACTAGAATGACATAAACATAGTGGGTGTAGGGGAAATCCCAGTACAGTAATCTTAGGTAAACTGCAGCAATTTCACTGTCTTTAAAAGAACAGTCCAAGCTGAATTTTTCAGTCTTCAGTCTGAAGTTAGCAACTAAATATGGAGATGTCAATAACAAAGGCTGACAGTAATTTAGAAGTAACAGAACTTAAGCAGCAGGTACCAAACATCTGTTTTACCTAGTGTTTTGAGTAATTTGTGACTTTTTCTTACTGAATTATCTATAATTCCTTAAAGAAAAATTCCAAATCCTGAAATAAGAAGCTAACAACTTGGTTTTAGTGAGAGACTGGCAATTCCATTTTGGCTCTCAAACAGGGATTCAGGAATTTAATGCAAACCAAAGCTTCTTTCAGCATCCAGGTTTGGAAGTTCAGCCCTAAATATCTAATTGCTGTACAACACTCTGGAGCCAATTTCACTACTTTAAGTGGTGGTACATAATTAAAGCACATATACACACACTATTACAGCTTGGTTAGCCAAACTTCTTAACCTCTGAAGCACCCAAGCAAAAAGCTTTTTTAAGATCTTTGAAGACGTGACAAAGCCAGACTGCAGTACACTCAAACATTTCTCTGACCTTCCCTCCAAACTCGGGCAATGAGCAAGGTGAGTAGTAACTTCCTCTTTCTCCATGACAACTTTTGTCATTTGTACAGTTACTCCTTAACTCACCGAGAGCACGCAGTAATGCTTTATATATACACACACCTATGTAGCATAGAGGTAGCTCGGCATCTCTGTGCTGATCTATCATCAGGTAGCCTGGCCATGACATTTTGGAATGAAATGCAAACCAATGTGTTCTCCAAAATGCATTAAGAAAGCTAACTTGGACATATCTAACAGAGCATACAGCAAAAGCACCATGTATCCTCTGCTCCCACTTACATCTACCAGCGCGCTGCCTTTGTGCAGCAGTCCTGATGTCACTTCACCTTCCTCTTACTGTTTTCTAACAGAAAAGAAAAACTCAATTCCTAGCTAAGAGAACTTTCCTAAGAAAACTTTCCTGGTTACAGGTCTTTGCCTCCTTCTCAGCTAAGAAGCCACCAGCCCACAAAGCTAGGAGCTGCTTTAGGACACTGCCACATTATTGCATAACGAGCTCTGCCACATTATTTGGCATAATAAAAGTCTAGCACATACTTTTCCACTGACCAGTATGCCTGTTGGCTGCAAGTGTGCCCCAGACTCAGTTAGGGCTCTGAACTTGACTTTCCAGTGATTCCCAACTAGCCTGACCTGACTTTGCTCTAGCTCAAACCTATTTTTCCATATCGCATGTTGTACAGACTGCTTGCATCCTAAACTCAATCATGCTCTTACTTCACTTTTCAGATTGACAAAAAGCTTGACTCTGGAACTAACACTGTATTCAGGTCCATCCAGTGCCAACATGATTTCCTTTTGACTCACTTATCACAAATGAGTGGGGGCAGAGGAGGAAGATCACAAAGTATAAAAGAGGAGGTTTAAGTCATAAAGCACCCTATCTTTCAGTTACCTGACAGTATTTGAAACAACACAAGCCATTAAGCTTCAAGTAAGACATTAAAGTAAAAAGTTCAACTGCTGAAAGAGATGCAAACTGAGATGGAAGCTCAAACTTCGGTAGATTTCCTTTTCTGCCAAAAAAAAAAAAAAAAAGGCATGTCTCTAGCAATTCTAGAACAGATACTGGACTTAGTGCATGCAGTATCTCTTTATAAAGTCTGTGCCTTGCATTTCACATATTGTCATGCCCTCCCACCCCCGAAAAAAAGTTGTTACTGGAAGAACTTTGAAGAATATGTAATTACGAAACCATTTGTACAGTCAAGACAGAGCTCAATGTAGCACCTTAATAATAATTTTCAGCAGTCTGCACTAACCAGTCATTTCAATGATACCCTTCAGTTCTACAGCTATCAGAAAGCAATTGTATTAACTGGAAAAGGAGGAAAAAGGATCATTAGATCACATGATCTGAGTCATTCAAATGAGGAGACAGCTTCATTCAAA